CCCCCCCGCCTGCTTATTTCAGTCTAGTGAGCCCGCTCACCCTTCTGGCAGACAAGTACCTGGGTCAACGCAACAGGCGGAGCAGGATCCTGTAGCCCGCGTTAGATGAGGAAGGGAGGGGGAGAGCAAAGATGCGGTTTTCAGCGTTTCGTGAGGTACAGGTACCGTTGTGTGAGCTGCCTCAGGGGTCTGACCTAGGTTAAAACTAAACCAGCTGGGGGCAAAAAACAAACAAACAAAAAGAGCTAGGTTTAACACGGATTAGCCTCTTTCACCTGTATGGCATCTATGCTTGGTATATGGGAGGGGCTGGTACAGGTTTGGGATACAACCGTTTTTGTGGGGAGAACCTAACAGCTAGCTCCTGGTCGTTTAAAGTGGTTGTGCAACTGTGACGTTTTGGCGCCTTTCCTGGGATGAATTGTTTTCTGTGGCTGTCTTTATCCAAAGATCAAGAAAGATATCAAGGCCGCTAGGTTACACGAGACACCTAGCTTGCAGGCAGTACAAGTCGGCAAGGTGAATCCCAGCTTTGATATTCAATGGTAAATGCTCCTGTTGGAAGTCTGGAGAGCATCTAATTGCAACATTTCACTGTACGGAATCGGTTTTCAGCCATTATTGATCTGAGCCAAGTCAGAGCCAGTAATAGTTGAAAAAGACCTTGTGCGACATGATCCTTTTAGTGTACTTATGGCTCTCCAATTCGGTTATCATAAAGTATATAAACAGCAATAGGAGAGAAGAAGCTGTGTCATTTCAGTGGTGCCTGAGGGAACCTGTATTCTCTTTGTCACAATGGACTGCACATGGGTCTGGTAAAATAAAGTTACAGTAATAGTTTACTAAAGCCACACTAGTAGAATTGGTTATAGCATTTAAAATGCTACATTTTGGCCTCTATCTTTCTGAAATTTAATCCCATTTTACAGATTGGAAACTAATGGATTTAGTTTCTAATATATAAAGTGAAATGGATTAGTTTTGGCAGTTGAAAAAAAAGTCAGCTTCCTGAGTGGAAATTAAATCTTAATTTTATTGTTACTTACAGAAAAATACAATAAAACACAATTAAAATACATGTAATTTCTTGCTATTTTCTGAAGGTCATAAATATATGCAATTTCTTTGTAAAATATTCTGCATCATATCTCAAAGGAGATGCTTATTAACAATTTAGACCTAAAAGGATAGACACTAAAACATTAGAAGTGGCTAGAGAATGCTTGACAATTACAGTTTAAGGTGAAAAAGTATCTTGAAACAACGCAAAGACCTGTTTGAGAGGAATGCTGAAAACAAATTGGATACTTAAAGTTTATTAATTTAATATGGCCCCCTTATAGACTATTACATTTCCTTACATTAAAATACTTGCTTAATAAGTAACAATAAAGCGTTAATTTGTGCTTCACTTTAATCTGTTTCAGACAGTATAGGATTAAAGAATATCCACCTTTACTTCAGAGACTTGAACATTTGCAGGGTCTTTGACTTTTAACTTATTGCTTGTGCTTGTCAAACTTATATCTGTGAGAAATGGAATATGCAGATAAAAATTACGCATGTTTTTCACGAATTAATTTCACGCTAACATCTTACAGATATTCATAAATTTGGAATGGTGATATTCTAAAGTAGAAAATACAAGAATAGAAATTTGTAGGTTAATTTCTATATGGAATTGTACAGAACGCATATTTCCTTGTATAGAGGTTACAAAAGCTATTGTAGCGTAACCCAGGACTGTACCTGTTATCCTATCATGAATCATACATTAGCTGAGTTTTAAATTTTGCATATTTTTCTCCTCAAAAGATAAATCACAGGACAGTTCACTTTTGTTATATTAGCAGCTTAATAATGATTAGAAATGAGAACCACAAATGTACATCTGTGGGTCTGAGCATTGGAAGACGTTGATGTACATATTACTTGTCGATGTAAGGAAAATAAATATTAAATGTAACTCATACTAGTGAGATAAGAATGTTTGCAAAATATTTCTAGAAGTGTTATAGGCATCTTCTTTTTATTTAATATAACTTTGGAATTGCTTACTTTGAGTCTTATCAGTTGCCTTGGATTTTTTTCTCTATGATAGCTAGTGCTAAATCTGTAAGTTGAAATCTTGTTTCTCTTTCCCCTTCTTTAGAAACAAATTAATCAGTGGCATAATCATCATATATGCTTCTCATTAGAGCAATACAGAAATACCTGGGAGTTGACGCCCAATTTTCACAGCAACGTAAAGAGTGGATCTCTGACGCTTTCTCATAAATGGTGATCGGTAAAAACTAGACACAAGAGAAAGAAGAATGTGGACCTGAGTATACTATCTGCTAGTTGACTCCCCTTTTCTCTTCCCCTTCTCTCTTTTTCATACATCTGTTACTCCTGGTTTTTATTCCGTTCTTACGTTAATTTAAATGATTGCTATGATTAGCAATACTGGATGCCACTTCAGTTGATTCAATAAAATGTTTTGTTTCTCTCCCTGCTCAGGAAGGGAAACTTAAAATGACAAATGTTTCAGAAACAAAGGAACTTCTTATTGTACTATATTAGCACAGTTATAGATAAACACTGATTTTCTTAAAGTTGTTGTTTCCCCCATGTGTTTTTTAACTTTTATTAAACCTGTTTGTGATATATATGCAGTATATAAGCTCATCCCCAAAGAAAAATTGCTGCATTGAATCGCCTGTATATAGGGCTGCCTATATTTCTCCAAAATTAGAAAATTCTGCATCCAGCTTTCTTACAGAAGTGAAGAAAACAAAGTCTGACTCACCACTGTCAGTAAATTTCAGTTTACGGTGAAACAGAGGAGTAAATTCCATGAAACTGATGAAAGTTATACTAAAATGCTTGTGTATAAAGCTCTATTTTCTTTGCATTTTCTGTATATTAATAAAGAATAGTCTGCTAATACTTTACAAAAGGAGAAGTTTTTTTAGTTGATTGGGAATTTATTGACGCTGAAATTCACTGCAAATATTTTGTGTGAACAGGAAGAAGCAGCAGCACCAATTAGCTTGCAGCCCAAATGCACAGTAAAGGAAAAGGAGTTGCAAAACATGGACACCTGGGATCATTTTCTGGCTACTGAAGTGCACATAGCAGCCAAACCCTCTTACTGCCTTCTCTTTCCATCATCCTGCACTGGTCTCCCCATACTTACAGAATGAGCTAGTAGGTGAGACAGCCAGATGAGCCTTAATCGTGGGAAAAAAATCTTGCTTTTAACTATAGACAGAGGATTCCTGTTCTGAAGTGTAGTGTGCATGTTGTTAAGACCACGCTTCCATCTTAATTGGTACTTTGATTGACAGCTTTGGCAGGTACAAAAGTCACAAAAATGCAAGAGGAACCTTTGAATTCTCATCCTTGAAGATGTGTGTTAACGTATAGTAGTAGCCTGTTGTTCCTTCTGCACTGTATCTGATCTATTCATACACTGGAAAATTAGTAATGTAGATTAAGGTTTCTGTTTTGGTGAGAATAAAATGTAATCAGGGTTTGGTCCAAGTGTAGGCAAGCAAGTAATTGTTGAGGGCAGTGTACTGTTAGGGAGGTGGAGTCTGTGTGTCTAGTCTATCTCCGCAGCTGTCACTCATGTCTCTTATCCTTTTAGCAGCAAGTGCAAATAAGGCTGGTTCTTCAGCTCCCTGTCTCTTGTCCATCCCTTCTCTTTCGCTAGAGATCAGGGTAGGTCAGTACACAGTACCTGCTGTGTACTATTATGTAGATAAATTTGTCCGTATTCAGCATTTTAAAGTATGATATACATCTTTTAGTCTCTGTTCATTTATAGTCATTGTTCTTTGCCATTTTTTTAAGAAGAAAAGGCACACCAAAAAAAACCCCACGCTGACGTAGAACACATAATAATTTAAACAGCTTTGCAGTATGGTGTTTACCAGAACAGGTATTTTGGACCACTGAGATAGTTAAGGTACAACTTATTTGGAGGTATGTCTAAAATCAGTTGCCTGAACAGGCTATGCTACAGCAGCAAAGTTGCTTTTGGTGATACGACTCTATCTTTGTTACAGTTTTGGTCAGCGTGATTGAGTTGGTTAGTAGTGTGATTACTGTAATGTGCATCTGCCAGTAAGACTGAATTCTTCACAGATTGATCCTTGTATGCAAAATGAGAAGGCATATAAGGAAAATCAGTTAAGAATAAAACTTAACTTGAAAGTCTTTTTTGATGACAGAAATGTGATGCATATTATTCAGAAGTATATATATTTTAAAAATATCTGTTACTGAATGCCTGTTTCTTATGAGCTCTGTATAATACATTTTAATGGAGAGGATGTAAGATCCCCGTTTTGGATGAATGTCATTACAGGATTTAGTGCAGTATTTCGCAACATTAATTCAAATTGGCCTGGATCCAAATGTTGACACACGAATTGAAAACTTACCAAAATCAATAAAAGATAATGATTTATTGTAGTGTACTAAGATTTGCAGAAATACCTAATGGTGTATCACAGGGAAAAGGGTAAGCTTTTCTGGTATGGGTAAGCCAGAGCACATAGAAAGTTACTGTTGAGTAGCTGACATTCAAACTTACGAGTCTATATGGTAGCCACCTCTCTTAAATCTTAGCCACCTAATCCTTACATCCTGTGTCACGATCGTCTCATATGCTGAAAAGGAGGAGTGTAACTCCCTCTCTCTCTAACTGTGCTCCAAGAGTCCAAGGTCCATCTCTGATACTGCACAGCTATATAACCTTGGCTCAGACTTCTGAGGAAATAGCTAAATTGTGAGGAAAAACCGTCAGAAAGTCTGTAGAGTGAGGTAGAAAAGGTTTCTTACCATGTGAGATAAGAACAGTAAAATTGCAGACAGAGGTAAGATGAGAAAGAATCACCAACATGAAGAAGGATAAAATCAAAAAGAAAAACACAAGGTGGCAGAAGATGGCAGTTCAGCAACAGTGAGGCTCTGTTCCGGGAAGCAGCAGGAACTGACCCTTCTTCTGACTGCCTGAGTGGCTGGCAGAGACTTTTTGGGTGTCTTACAGGAAGCAGTGAGCATATTAAAGCTTAGCCTGGTAGCTTCTTAAATCCTAGCTATTGTGTGTATGATAATCAATGAGTACTTGCTTTATACTTTTAGCTGCATATAGTCTATTTGCAGAGTCTCTGTGCACAAGTGAGGTGTCTGGAAAAAGTGACAGAAATAGGGATGGGTTGCAGGAGATACGAGTCCACAGATGGAACAAATGTAGGAGTTGTCCCAAAGAGCCTATCTTAAGCTACAATTTGGAAAGCTGGATCATAGCTTATGAAAAGTCCATTGAAAAAATGTTTTCCAGACACAGCCCTGTGATCTGCCATCTCAGACACAATCAGAAAGAACAACAGCAAAAAGTAGTGGTATGAGACAGTTCTCCTATTTGTTTTTAGACAAGAAAATCATTCCAGGCAGAAGGCTTACATTCTCAGTCTCTTTGAACAAAAAGGTGGAGTAGTGTCAGCCAGATTATCTGTTTCAATGATCTTTTCTGAGTTTATTAAGTAGTTCACTGATTGAGCTAAAACTCTTAAACACATGCAGCATATGCATGGGCACTTTTCCTAAGAATATTTCTATAAAGCAAAATAATTTTTAAGCACATCGTGCTAGAATACAATGATTTATTATTAACTAACACTTATGCAGTATATTATTATGAAATGGTTAGATTTGTTGAACCCTACTAGTTCACTCCAAGCATGAATGAATTTGATTGACTTTTGGCATATCCGATGTAACATACTTACTTTATATGATATAACTTGCCATCTGACCAGCTTCTACTTTATTTTAGCGGCAGTGAGGCGTAGTGATATATCACTACAATTGGCGTAGTGATATAAATATAACTAAACAAAATGCAAACACGGGGAAGACTGGCTGACACGTGATTTAAGGCACTGTGACCAGATTGGTAAAATCTTGTTTATGAGGATGAGGACTGCATAACATGTAACACTGTTTTTTTTCACGATTGTATCTAACAAAGCTTGTCTTTGTCTTTGATTTTTGGTTGTTCACCTGTCCTTCCTGCCCCCAGTTTATCACTTGGGAGCCACTGAAATTGACTTTGATCAAGCTGTAGAGACAAGGTATACTTCTTGACCCTTCGCTGTTCCCGAGCACTGTTTATCAGGAAGATTTGTTTTTCATTAAAGCCGAGTAAGACCAGCTAACAATAGGAATGAGTTTTTTTCCCAGGTTGACTCACAGCTGCTGTTATCTAGTCCAAAGATGACATTTTCAAGTTGCTTCTAAATATCATGAGGAAGATGGTTCCTTTTTAGTTTCCTTAGAGCCTCATCTATTTAGAATAAATAGGTGAGTATTATTTAAATCATGTATTTGACCTGATTTTGCTTCCTAGATATTCTACTTTGTCAGCCTTTTAGCAGCTTTTACAGTCTCTGCCCCAGCTGTCTCTGAAGGTATGGTTTGTGCCCCTATATTATCATCTAGTTAGAGTTATAATATTAAAAAATTATTTTCAGTACTCGTTGTCATTATAGCACTGATATGGGAAGTAAAATAGTTTGCCTGTCCTTTGTGGTATGCAACTGACCAGCTCAGACTGGAAAAATGTGTCTTCCCTGACAGTCATCCTGTAAAGCTAATCTTTGCTTTCTTTGTGCAGCAAATGTGCCAAACAGTTTGTTCAAAAGGAATTATAATGAATAGTACCACTTTCTGTGTTCTTATGCAGAGCCAAAAAGTGCAGGTAAAGGTTTACTTTATTTTATTAAAAATAAATGTTATAAATTTTGAAGCAAAGCATTGTTCTGAAATGAGAACTGACATTTTTCATTTTGAAAGATCCTTATTAAAGATTTATCTGCTTTATTCATTCTGGCCCAAAATTATTCATTTTTTTGTTTAGTGAAAACTGAACTTTGATGTGCCCTTGCAGTAAGCTAAATCAGCTCACATTGTATCTTAAGATAAAATAACTCACCCTCTCAACGGCCTCTCTTCTTTCAGATATCTGATTTGGTTCAATTAGAAGCCTAACAGCTGGATGCCCAAAGCAATTAACATGAATCCTATGTTTGTGGACTTGTGTATTACTGGAATAGTGTAATAAATTTACAAGAGAGGTGAAGAACCTAAAACTTACAGCTTTTTAAAATGGTCTCTTCAGGAGTCTAATGCTTTTTTAGCTGGTGGTAATCTCAACAGAAAATTGTTGAATAGACTTGTTTGTGTATGTGTACCCATGTGTAACACAGTTGAGGTTTAAGAGAGCAATAGCATCCAGAACAAGAACAGTGTAGGATATTTGTTATCAAGGTAATGCTAGATGAGGACAGTTATTATACACTGGAAAAACAAAAATCCTTTTCCAGGCCATTGCTTTCTGAAGAATCTAGTAACTTTCTCTTACATGCTACTCTTCACATTCGGTCTGACTTGCCGTATGCCTGGGGCATGCTGGAGAAATCCCCACTGAGGGCTAGTGCAGGGGCTCAGTACACCTCTCCTTCTGACATCCATGCTACTGTGTGCCATGCTTCTGTTCAATGCAGCAATGAAATGAGACTCAAAAGCTTTTACTGAGGGGTTATAAAATTGTTGTGGGGTTGGAACCCACTACCTCCAAGTTAAGAGCGGTTCCCGAGTACCTTATTAAAAATGTCAGTCTAAACATTTCCTTCAAATAAGATCTGCTAACGTTTCAGGTGTCCTTTATCTATTAATCCAAAAATGATATTATTTTCAGGACTTGTTTGCATCAAATCATAAATTTCATGAATACAAATCAGTCTGCAAGCCCATTTCATGTGTGTATGAGTATATTCATATATATATATATATGTATGTATGTATGTATGTATATGTATGATGCTTACACTCATTTGATACATTCCAAAAACATGTAACAAATGAAAGGACCATTTGATTGTAAAAGCAGTTGCCTTTCCATTTTATTCCCTTAATTTAAAAATAATTTAAAATTAGAAATTTAGATTTCTTACTTCCATTATCAGCATAATTTGCATGAAAAAATAATGCAGAAATGTATGGCAGTCATCTCAGTCTTGCACAGCTGTTTGTTTTTTAATTTTGCTTTTAAACTTAGTCTTTAAGCCATGCTGTATCATTTACAAAAAGTGATTCTCTGAGTGGATTTTCCACTGTAAACCATACATAACGTACCTTGTTCCAGAGGAGTTTCTGAGATTACAGTCTAAACTGTAGGTGGTGCTGCTGTTTGTCTAATCTGATTTCATAGATCAGCATGGCAGTATGCCACACATGTATTTACCTTTTTGAGTTTCCAGTCCAATAATACCATTAATTTGGCCAGGGAGTCCTGCAGAAATCAGCGGAAATGCAAATCTTTTCTACATAAAAATAATAAAAAAGATACGTTCATTACTGTCAGAGGATTGTTTTGGAGTGCTGAGGGAACACCCAAGAAATTATTATAAATCTACAAATGCAAAGCAGATCTTTGTCATATGTCACAAATTGTCTTTAAAAATTCCTGGCACTCTTATGACCTGTTGAAAAAAACATAGTAATATTTTCTGAAATTAACAGCAGTCAGAACAGGGGTGGTGACTTTGTTTTGTTTTGTGTGTTTTTACTGTAGCTGGAACCACAGACGTAAGTGACGATGAAGATTTTTGTCAGGCAGTCTAGATGTGGTCTTGCTATCTAATCTCCCCAAAATAAGAATTTTTTTTCAAATAGACCAAAGTATAAAAGTAGCCCAAAGGTGTGCACATTGTTTGATATTAGAAGTTCCATCTTTAATAGATGCTTATCTAAAAAACGAAGACCCAGGGATTTTTTTGTTTTCCTATAACCAGACTTTTTTTACATTTCCTCTTTTCATTTCTTGGTATCTTGGGTGGGATTCCTCTGAGCAAAGCAGGCGTAGGTTGCATTCTAGACATGGTTATTTGAGCTAGTCATTCTAAGCTGCCTTAATGATCAGAGAAGAGAAACAGATGTTTTTATAAAGGAATTCATTTCTTCCCAAAGACAATATTCCTTTCTAAAAATGTCTATTCTTCTTCACTGAGAATATTCATCTCTAAAACTGCTTATTTTTCTGTATTGACATTGATGTCTAAAGAAAACCTCCTCTGAAGTAAGTGTCTGAAGTTTGGCAAAATGAATCTCTGTCCTGGCGACGGAGTAGACTCATTCTATTCAAATGCCAAATCTAGCATCATTTAAAATTCTGAAGTGAGATGAATTGCTGTCTAGAAGCCAAACACTTGTGTGGATGTCCCTCTTAAGATTCACAGGTGACTTGCCCATATTCTTCTCCTTACTGCTTCCTCAGAAAACCCTTCTGTAGATGTTGTTCTGTTGTTTCTTTTATTAAATATGAATAAATGAGTCTCGATATAAGAATGAGAAGAGGTGTGTTTGTAAACAGTGACAGCTCATAATCATTTTTTTTGATGTGTAAGCTTCTTCCATTCCTTTGCAAGTTCCAATTCAGCACCAAAGTAGCTAGGTAAGTGCTTTGCGTCCTGCACAATCCCTAATATTTAACTCTACCAAATTAATAAATAATTAAATTTTTGCCAATGATTTTCTCTGAAATCACCTTTTATTTCTTGTTCTGTACCTCCTTTTGAAAAAGAATTTTCATGTGGATTTATGTAATTGCAATACGATTTTAAAGTCTTTGTCCTTTTGATAACTTCCCTGAATTGTGTAATATGCAGATCAGTATTTGGATATGCAGTTACCATAATTCATCTTTTTCATCTGCTTTTTCATTTTGCTATCTGTTCTCCTTTTACCCTTTATCTCACCTTCCCATTGTTTATCTCATCTTCCTTATTTTTCACACCTTAAACTAAATGAAAGCATGTACAGCTGAAGATTTAATAAACGTCCTTACCTCACATCCCTTTATAAGTTCTTCCCATGTATCCAGTACATTTTGCATATGACATTTCTAAAGATAACGTTGCCTGGCAGAAACTTGCTTGTAACAGCATTTGTTTCGCTGTGCCTAATTGAGCAAATTGCCGCTCTACTTTTTGTAAAAGGCTTTCTATCAATGTCATTGTCTATGTTAAGCATGGAGAGACAGTGAGGAAAAATTATCCAAATTAATGATGAAATATGACTAATGAAGTGGATTAGTTAAACCTCATTAATTCCTTATAGGTGCTGGTTCAGAATTGACATGGTCATATTTGAGTTTGTAGACATAAACAATGGTTGTTAAAATGGAGTCCTCAAAATATTTCAAAAAGTTTTTATCTTTATTTTGTGTTTCTTTGACTAGAAAGCTAAAAAGAACTGCTAATACTGATTCCTGTACTTGGATAGGAATACTGATCTTTATTAAAAAAAGAAAATAGTGAGTAAGGTCATAAATAATCACTTCAGCTTTTTCAGGCCACTTGTGATTGTCATATGTCCTAAAGTCTCCCCTCCTTGTAAAAACATAGCACTCTCTTTCATTTCAGGCAGTAGATAATAGATCATCGTGGTCTCAAAGTGCTCAGAAGTGGCATGTAGAGACCAGAGTGTCTTGTCTCGTCCTTCACCAGGTAACATACCTCAAAAGAACATGATTTGTGTGTACTATTTCTATATGTTACATAACTGCATCATCACTAACATTTAACTTCAATATCTCCTTTATTGGCTAAGACACACTCAACTGAGAGTTAGTTTGTTCATTTACCCTGATAAAACATCCTCCTTTTATCTAAAAGTAAATTCTTTGCAAGGAATTGTGGCGAGTTCAGTCCAAAGCAAGAGAAAATTTGCTGAGCAGGGCAGTTGGAAAAGGCTTGGTAAGAATGAATGGGAGATTCTGTGCTCAGAACACGATACAAGACAAAATGGTCTCGATTCCTATTCATATTCTGAACTGATTTACTACATTTGATATTGAATTATTCTTTTAAATATTGCATCCATCTCTTCTGAGTTGTACTTTATTTCTACTGACCTGCAATGTAAGAAGAGCAGTACATTCTGGCTAAGGTAAAAGGCTTCTATGCTATTTCTGAAGCAACATATCCAAAAGAATGACGAAGGTTTATAGATGTGCTATGGATTTCTAGCCAATTTGTTTACGTTGGTAAGCACACTAACTACTGGCATTATCCTAGCAATTTAAAAGTTGTCATCAGGTATTAGTCTCACTGAATAGAAATTCACAATGTTTTCACAATGTGGTGTGGAATTCATCTTTCATTTGCCATATAAGTATTCAGCTATGCTGTCAGGTTTATCTCCAAAAAATGGACATTCTTTTTAAATATTCCTTAAGTAGGCTATCTAGGATAGTTCTTTTGGAAAATTGTTCATACATCTGCCAAGTTAGTGTCTTAATTATGTGTGTGAGCTCTCCATGCATCTTAGTGTAAGAAAGGAATGTGAATTTCAAATCTCTTTGAAATGCGGAAGGAGAATCTCCCTTTTTACCTATATAATAAAAATCACAGGAAATGCTAAAAATCCCTGCCACTAAATCACTTTGATTAAGTACTAGATCTGTCAGTAAATGATTTGATCTGCACTCCATAATTTGTTGTTTGTTTACAGAGATTTTGAGTCTAGCCTTTGAGTTCTAAGGAAGAAAAAATGTTATTAATGCATAGCTTTGATTATTAAAATTATGACACAGCAGTTTATTTCTAAATTGCAATTAAACAAGATTTTTGGGCAGTAGAACAATTAGAATAGAAAGGAAAGAAAAAAATTAACATATTTTGAAGTACTTTCCTGGAATATTATAGGTCATAAGAAAGTAATTATGGAAAATGTACGTTCTAAAAAATGTTCAAGGTCAGAGACGCTGGCAGGTGTTTTACAAAATGTGCGTGAACATTACAAAGTCCACGCATAAGGATCATCAAATAAACCATCAGTGTTGTTTATTCTGAAGTTGCTCATGCTCTGGTATGAGCATAAGGTGTGAGGTATATCTTATGATAAGGTATATTTTGTGGTAGAAAAAGTGTATCAATAGTTTTCATTACGAATAGGAGTGTGCACTATATCTTGCTATATCTTAATCTGCTCTCCTGTGGAATCCTAAGAAGTCAATATCATTCCCAGTTTATACCATTGGGTTTAATTTGTACATTGGCGCAAAACTGTTGTTATGGAAAAAATATACGTCTATATATAAAATATATCTTGAGGCATTTTTGTTGTTGTCTTGTTAAACTACTTTACTAGCTGAAATCATCTCCAGCACTATAAAATGAGCAAAAGACATTATTGTAAAGATACCTTGCAGCAGTACTTAAAGCTATCAAACAAGATCTGCTAATTAAAACTCTTTGTAAATTACCGTAGTGTGTCAAAGTCAGATTTAACCTGTACTCTCATCTAAGATAGAAGTAGAGTGAAGATATACATATGATGAATTTGTAGGAGCTTTTCTTTCTTAGGATTCAATCACCAGTCTGATGTAAAGATTGTACTTTTATAGTAAGTATGTGCTTGAATGACTTGGAGATGTTGTAATAGATGCTTGTGTATAGGTATGATACATTCATGCAGTAAATAATTAGAAAAGGAGGCAAAAATAGAGGTAAGTTTTTCAGTCCTTTAGAGCAGCCTGCATGAAATTCATGTGTCAAATATTTTGTGTATGCCTTCCCCTTCCAACTATGAGTGCAAAATAATGATAACAGTTAAGACAGTCCAGGGAATTTAGTGAGGAACTGAAGCCAGACAGGAAAGTTTGTGAAATACCAGCAGTTTAGTAACGTTTACTTTAAACTATCTGATCACTTGAAAAACCGGAAGAACAAATCTGCCCCTTTTTGGAATGTCTTTGAGAAGTGTAACTGCTATAGCAGCCTTTTCTGATAGATCCACTGAATCTTCCTGAGAGGTAAAGGTGAACAGAGTGGGATTATTCTGATAACATTATCTATCAAGAGATCAGGATTTTAACCAGATGAAACAGAGGGTTTTTTTGATGAAGTGCAATGCAATAATGCTATATTCTGGCTAATTTAAGATATCCTGAAACAATAAGAGCTGAGTTTTCAAGGCTGCGCAGCTGTCAGAGAAATCATTAGGACAGGTAGAAAGCTTACTAGTGTGGAATATAGGGAGGGTGAAACTATAACAGTTACTATTAATAAGACCTGTGTGAAAAGGATTAAGGCACACTCTGCTTACATCAGTTAACTTATGTTTTCAGTGCTAGTGTTTTCTAAATATTTCTAAGATGTGAATTCTAGAAATAAAAATTCCTATTTAGACATATTGCTTGCCATCTCCCTAACATTAAATTATATTGGCATTTAAGTAGCTTAGCTCTCACCGAAACTGTGGGAATATACCCATATAGCTAAACGATGAATATTCCTAGCTGAGGCAGAGCTCATCTGAGCTGCAATCTGCTCCAGATGAGGCCGAGCAGGGTTTAGACCGTTGTCTAAACATGAAGTCACTGACTCTTTCGGGAGAGGCCTGCTGTTCTGCCAGAAATACCATCCTGGACCTGAGAATTTTTCCTAAATAAGTCGTCATATGAATGGCAATTTTGCAGCTATAGGTAACGTCATTTGTGAAAAAAGCCAATTGTTGAAAAATTCCTACCTGCTTGTAAGGCAATCCTGTCTGATTCCATTCTCCTACTGTCTGTCCTCAGAAGCCTTTGCACAGGCCTCTGAGTTGCATAAAAAAGCCTTATAATGTCTTCCACCGTAGAGGAGGGAAAGGGTCAAGTTTCTCTAAATGTAGACTAGATGCAGCAGCAAACAGCAAAAGTAGCCATCACATGATGATTCCCTGACTCTGATTCTCAGAAATCCTAACCAGAAAACCCATGAGCAGTGAGTTCTCACTTCTCAGCCCAAAATCTTCTCATACTGTGACGGGTTGTCACTTCTGGGAAGCCTTTGGGAGACAAGAACACTTTTGGAATAACAGAATAATTTCACAGTGCAGGAGAACACAGCCTTTCAGGTGAAATTCATACTAAAAACATTTCTCTCCTTACAAACCACACTTTAAAATATCACAGTGCTTTCAGTATAATTTGGTATTTTACAACAACTTTTAAATGCTGGAAATGGTGCATGACTACTTTGGGCATCAATGTGTTGTAAGTGTGTGGTATCTGAATATGGTTTAATATTGTGGTATTTTACTCTGAGTTATTGGCACTGACTCACATTGTTTTAATGTTTTCATATTTGATACTAGTTTAATTCCCAAGCAATTGCTTTTAAATATTTGTTACAAAAGTTTTCCAACTTTGGAAACCACAAATGAAATCCACCAGTATAATAATAATCTTCCAGAACTAATCTTTTTTTCAGAACTATATTTTATGGTGCTTCTTATTGATTTTGATAATGACAAAAAAAACTCTCTAAATATTCCCTAAATTCATTAATTGGTTAAAATTGCCTTTTAAATACTTTCATTTCCAATTTACAGATCAGTAAATAGATTTCTCTGAGTATTTGTTGAACTTGAACAGTGCTGAATAGAAAGTGCAGATAGGTTTTCTGGAATCGTCATTAGAGAAATGGATGACAATTGCTTTTTGAATGATATGACAGTGAACTATTGAGAGTACCTCATAAATTCAGATAGTAAAATTAACATGAAATTAACTCCTTAAGTAGAAATATTTCATTTCAGCCATTTTCTTTGACCGTACTGGACAGCATTTCTCCTTGCTGGAAGCATAGGGACAAAACAAAAATCTTCCGTCTGTCACTATTGTGTTGTGAACAAATAACCCCTGCTAGTTTTAAAATACCTGAAAATCTTCATGATCATGATCCTCATGAGAAAACCCAGTTAAAGGTAAAGAGGCTTACAGAATACTCGTGAAAACTAATGACAACTCAGTGTTAGAACGCCTGATGAATGTTGTGCAGGGGTACTACAGGATGTAAATGTAAGACTATATTTTTATATATTTTTAAAGAGCAATGTAAGCAACTTTTGTTTTCTTGCCTCTTTCAGATAAGGAACAGGTGAAAAAGTAGCTCTTAAGTCTGCGAGATGGGCTACTGCTGCTTCTCTCTGACCGCACGGGGATTCCACAGGACCTGAGGAGCCCAGGAGCTGTACTTCATTTCCTCTTGAACAGTCAGTACAACTGGCAGGAGAACGTGCATTTTAGGATATTTTAGTGGATACTCAGCCATCAAATGCATCCTGAGGCCTCTTTGAAGCATTCCGCTTCCTAAAGCAATATAAAATTCAGTGTATTTGATAAATAATACAACTATAGCTTTAGAATTGTACTATATGCAGTAAACATTCTATGCGCTGTTGAATGAATAATGTATAAACATCAAAAAACCTCGGTTACATTGAATTTGTTTTAATGGTTTCAGAAGCAATAACTCGACTAAAAGAATATGTGGGCAAAAGTAGTTCTTTTCCCTTACAACCTCACTATGTCACAAGTAAACCCATCATCACAGAAGAAACGAAGACTACGCTTACACGGTTGTTACCTGAATGGGGGTGGAGGCTCTGATGCTACTGTTTAAATCAGTGTTTATATCGACTGAAGTTTTGATAGACATTGCACCAGACTCTAAAAGTTAATACATTTTTCAGTTGTTCTTTGTTTATAATTCCATGGTTTTCTTGATCTGTATTCATAACTTATTTACTTATTTGGCTAGCTTTTTAAATTCGGGAATCTTCAGTTATCTGAGTTTGTATTCAGATAATATGCATGCAACTGGGAATTTTTGAAGTGCAAGATGTCAGATAGTAAAATGCTGTAAATCCACAGTGTGGCCATATAAACCTTTTGCTACAAGAGCTTAACTTCATTTGGCAAAAATCTATGACGTTCTTGAAACTATTGAGGGCACAAATCATCTCCTTTTTATGTTAATTCCTTTTACTAAAAGTAGTTTCAGTACTTTTTAGTTTAGGCATTTTTACCTCAAAAATATTTTGCTTATCATCCTTCAGAGTCTGATTTATTGTATTTTAAATGAAGACTGACAGATTGCATTTTAACAGTTTTGGATATTTATGCTTTCAAATCAGGTGAATCCAGGAGGAAATCATTCTTATCTTGTAATTACGAGTCATGCAAGAAGATGTAGTTGTGAAGTTGTACATGTACTTGGCTGAAACTGCGAGGTGCAAATATTCTTAAACTGGAAAAACCTCTATAATCTTAGTCTGCGCTCAGAATAGTTCAATCTGTGTGGTAATATTCTTGAGATAAATGTATTTGGTTGTGGGTTTGCATATCCCTAGCTATATTTATCTTTTCTATACGTTTACCTTTTCTTTGGTTTAGAATTAAAAATCTTTCATGAGGCTGTAATTTTGTAAGACAAAAGCAAACTAAACTTCAGAACAGAATTGGGATTCAGTTCCTAACATTTAATATGCATCTATCTAAAAAATATCCCCCTAGTAATAAAGCCACCAAACAGCAGCAATAACAACAGTTAGACTTCACTTTTTAATGTCAGAAATTGATCTGGGTATGTGTGATACACTCATAAGACTATAGCAACTTGGATCTTCTACTGTAGTAGGGAGGAAAGCCATCTTATTTTAGAAGTATGACCTAGAGCCCGAAGGGACTATATTACCTGATATTCTAGAAGCATAGATCTGTGTATAACCTTTATTGACGTTCCAGTTTTATCTACTTTCATCATTTCAATAAAAATATATAATCAAATTTTAAATTAAGCCCAGAAAATCATATTATGGAACTAGATATCTAATTTGTAAGAAATTAATTAAATACAAAATTCCAGGGCACTCTGATCATTCTAGAACCAGAGTCCTACTTATGCCAGTTATTATCTTTGAGCTGCCTGGGCTTGATACATAGTATTTGATAAAGCCAGAGTGACAAACTAAGTTACTGATTAATTTTCAGCAATTTCATCCAGAAAGGACAGGCACATGCCCTTAGACTGAATTCTAACTAGTTTTTGATGTTTGCTCCAGGAAGATGTGTGAGAAGCAGAACACCAAGTGGTGCATTTTTTTGTTAGGTTTATTATTGATTCAGAAACATGAGTTTGTTTTCCCTTTCAGCTAATGGGACAGTACAACCTTTGAGCTGTTTGTAAGCAAGAAATCAGCACTTAAAACTTATTTGAATGAAACAGTTTCTAATGCATTTCTGAAAGGCATTAGAACTTTATAGAAGTTGGTGCAGATTGCTATTAATACCCTTTGTTGCTTCTCATTCACCTTATTCTCTCATCTCTGAGCATCACATGTCATGTAAGTCATATGTATTTAACAGAGTGGAAGCAGAGGCTAGCATAAGATATGAATAAAGGGCTAGCTTTTGACTGGCCCTGAAAAGGAGATAGATAGGCTATTTTTTTTTCTTTACCATTAGAGAAACAGGTCTAAAAGCAGACATACCATGAGTCGAGCATCTGAGAGTAGTCAGTCATTTTGTTTGCTTCAGTTCTTCTTTCTGAAACACAGCTACCATCTTTTAACTGTTAGGAAAATCAGATACAACCAAATTCTACTGGAGTTTTATTTATAGCATCAAGAATCTTAAGTATTTATGATCCAAAAGTGATTATGATCTCAGGCTACAATTTACCTGGATATTATCAGTACTTCGCAGGGAAGCAATTTCACTTTCACCTGCATATACTTTAAAGCATTTAATTTTAAATACTTCCAGGATTAAAGCAAAATATTAGTGCTGTAGTTAATACTATGTAGTTGCTGAACTCAGACATCACATCTGATCCATTTTTTTTTCATTGATAATAGAAGGTTATTCATCTAAGGTAGATTTGTTATTGTTTTGCTTTCAGTCTTTTTTTTTTCCTAAGTTGTTAGTTATTTGCCCTCAGTTTCTGAATACTTTCAGTAATATATACAGAACCTGAAGAGGCTTCTGGCTCTCTGGATCTAATTCTCTGCAACCTGAAGCCAAAGATTAGACATTTCCTTAAAACTAGCATAGATCTGCACTACTGTTGAAAGGGGTAGCCCTCTTTCC